GCTCCTCATTTTACTAAAAGGTAAACTGAGGTGCTCACGAGAAGTGCTAGGCTGAATCCCTGAAAACTTGAGGGCGGACTAGGACCAGCACGGCAGGGTGGCGGGAGACCTGCTCCTCCACATCCATCATCTACACCGGTTTAAACTCACCGCCTTCAGCACTCTGGTTAGCAAAGATAAAAGGAAAACAGGGGTAGACTGGGAGCCGGGGAACCGTCGCTTCAAAAGGCTCCTCTTTCACCGCCTCCAAAGGCCCCGCCCCGGGCAGGCAGGTCACGCGATCCAGAGCAGCCACCGCGCAGGCGCAGTGGGGCTTCCGCCCGCCATTTTTGAGTCATGGCGGCGCCTCTGGGAGGAATGTTCTCCGGCCAGCCGCCCGGGCCCCCGCCGCCTCCGCAGGTCCTCCCGGGCCAGCCCTCGCTTCTTCAAGCGGCGCCCGGGGCTCCGAGGCCTCCGAACAGCACGTTGGTGGACGAACTGGAGTCCTCGTTTGAGGTAAGCGGGAGCCCGGGCCGCCCTCCTCGCGACCCCGGGGGTGTGTGTGACGTCCTTCCCTAGCCGCGGCCAGCCGTGGGCGGTTCAGCCGGGGCCTCGGGTCCGTTCTGGAGACGGTGATTGGGAGTCTGCCCACGCCCAGCAGGGACGCTTTGCGTTCCTGGCCAACCAGGGTCTGGCGGGTCCTCGGCCTCCCCAGAGCGCACCTCTCTTCAGGCTCTTTCCGATCTTCCTCCGTGCTCTGTGCAGACCTTCTGGCCCCAGACAAACTGGGTTTGTGCGAGTGAGCACCAGCACTCTGGCCTCCTGACTTGACAGGCAAAAGCCGTCCTAGACATGCTGCTGAAAAGTGCATTCTTTCTGAAGACTTATTTTAAAAATACTTTTATTTCATGTATATGAGTGTATTGTCTGTATGTAACTGCACCCTTATGGTGCAGTGCTCGCGGAGGTCACAAGAGAGCGTCGGATCCCCTGGAACTGGAGTGAGGCTTTGTTGTAACCCACCATGTGGGTGCTGGGAACTGACCCAGGTCCTCTGCCAGAGCAGCCAGTGCTCTTAACTCCTGAGCCATCTCTCCAGCACCAAGACGTATTTTTATTTTATGTGTATGAGTGGTTTGCCTGCATGTGTGCAAGTATATCACGGGTGCAGTGCTGGTCAAGTCTCCTGAACTGGAGTTAAAGACATGGTTGTTAGCCAGCTTTTGTGCATTGGGAACTCATCTTGGGCCCTCTGGAAGAGCAGTAAGTACACTTAACCCTTGAGCCATCTCCTCAGCCCATGAAAAGCACATACTTATAAAAAGAAGTTACTGCATTTATTATTTATTCTTGAATGTGTTGTGGGCACAGGTGTGAAGGTCAGAGGAACAACTTGCAGGAGTCATTCCCACCATGTGGGTCTCAGGGATGGAATTTTGGTGATCAGGCTTGGCAGCAAGTACCTTCTCACCAACCCTGCAAAATGTACTCATTTCATAGACTGCCATACACTTTTTCTTAATATCTGTCCAATTGTCTATAAAGGTCTGTGGTTTCTAAAACAATTTTTTTTTAAATTTTATGTGTATGACTGTATTGTCTGCATGTATTTAAGTGGAACTGGAGTGAGGCTTTGTTGTAACCCACCATGTGGGTGCTGGGAACTGACCCAGGTCCTCTGCCAGAGCAGCCAGTGCTCTTAACTCCTGAGCCATCTCTCCAGCACCAAGACGTATTTTTATTTTATGTGTATGAGTGGTTTGCCTGCATGTGTGCAAGTATATCACGGGTGCAGTGCTGGTCAAGTCTCCTGAACTGGAGTTAAAGACATGGTTGTTAGCCAGCTTTTGTGCATTGGGAACTCATCTTGGGCCCTCTGGAAGAGCAGTAAGTACACTTAACCCTTGAGCCATCTCCTCAGCCCATGAAAAGCACATACTTATAAAAAGAAGTTACTGCATTTATTATTTATTCTTGAATGTGTTGTGGGCACAGGTGTGAAGGTCAGAGGAACAACTTGCAGGAGTCATTCCCACCATGTGGGTCTCAGGGATGGAATTTTGGTGATCAGGCTTGGCAGCAAGTACCTTCTCACCAACCCTGCAAAATGTACTCATTTCATAGACTGCCATACACTTTTTCTTAATATCTGTCCAATTGTCTATAAAGGTCTGTGGTTTCTAAAACAATTTTTTTTCAATTTTATGTGTATGACTGTATTGTCTGCATGTATTTAAGTGCACCCATGTTGTACAGTGCCCTCAGAGGTCAAAAGAGGGTGTTGAATACCCTGGAACTGGAGTTATGGATGGTTGTTAGCCGTGGGTGCTGGGAATTGAACTTGGGTCCTCTGCAAGAGCAATCATTGGTTGACCAAAATTCCTGAAATTAGAGCTCCAACCACTCTGTTCTCCTTGGCCCTTTTGTACCAGGAAGCCACCACCCAGCTTTGTGGGCCAGTGTGTGATTGGTTGGTATCCCGAATGGGATGCTTTATGTTAACCATGTTTCCTAGAGTAAGCACATCCTGCTCACACTCCAAAACAGGAGCTTTTTTTTTTTTTTTGGAGTCAGGGTCTCCCTGTAGCCCCAGCTGGCCTGGAACTTGCTATGTAGACCAGGCTGACCTTGAACTCACAGATTGGCCTACCTCTGCCTCCCAAGTGCTGAGATTAAAGGTGTGGGCCACCATGCCCGGCAGGGGTTTACTTTTATAGTATACAGAATAAGCAGTCTAATTTGTTGAGAGTGGGGGATCCCTGTGGTTGTCTCTATAAATCATACAGGAGACTGGGTAGGAGAATTTGGTGCTTCCCAAAGGAAGTTCTCGTGTAGTTGATGGCCTAAATTTGGTTCTGTGCCTCATATCACACCAAGTTTTTTGCTTATGGATGTCGGGGCTCTACCCTGCTGTTCTTGTCAGCTGCCACCATCTTCTCTTTTAAGCCCTGCTATCGTGCTGTGGGCTACCTTTGTGTATTTTCTGAGAGTTGTCACTGCCCTTCTGGCTCACAACGTCTCAGTTCGTGCCTTTTAAGTGAGAACTCCCTCTTTGCAACTTATCCAGGTGACAATAACCTTGGGCTTGGTTGTATCCATGTAACACTAGCCTTGTCCTCTTAAGCCATCTGCTAAACAAATGTTTGTTACTTACTAAATGCCAAGCAGTATTCCAAGTACTCAAAATACAGTGATGAACAACATAGGCAAAAATTCCTACCTGTTGTTAGGATACAGATAATAATGGCTGAAAAGAATTAGTAATGTTGTCAGTTAATTAATTATGTGAAAGAGATTCAAAGCTCCAGGGCAGAGCATGAGCAGGAGGGGTATCATTTAGAAAGACTAGACATGTTGGTTCAGTGGTTAAGATCACTGGCTGCTCTTGAAGAGGACCTGGGTTTGGGTCCTAGCACCCACATGGTGGCTAACAACCATCTAACTCCAGTGCCAGGGGAATTCAAAACCCTCTTCTGACCTCCACAGGCATTTCATAATACTGGTACATGTACATACATGCAGGCAATACACTCATAAAATTAAAAAAATATATATATTTAAAAAAAACGGGCAGACAGCGTCTTGAATGGTTGAAGCATAGAACTCATGTAAGGATTGGTGGGAGGGGTTGTGATGGGGTTGAAGGGTATATATACCTATAGGCCATGGTATGGAATGAGACAGTGAGGAAGGGGCAGATGGTAGGAGACCAAGTGATCGTGCTGGCAAATGCCAGGTTAGTTGAGACTCAGTTTACCAAGTGTTTACATTGGCCTAATGTCCTCTCTTGTACAGACGCAGAAGCTGTTGGCTCATTAAATGGGCTCAGGGGAAGTAATTCTTAGAAGTGATATTTTTGATGTGTAGATGACATCTTTTTTATGTTTTGGTCACACAGGCTTGCTTTGCCTCTCTTGTAAGTCAGGATTATGTCAATGGCACTGATCAGGAAGAAATTCGTACTGGTAAGAGTTCCCCTTTTGCAGACAATGTTACTGTCTTCAGCAGGATTCCTGTTGCTGATTTTATATTTATTATATTCAGTACAACATATGTCTTGAGAATTTTTCCAAGTAGTAATCTTTATGCACATAGTCCCATAAACTGCTGAGTCTTTGCTTGATTCGTTTGCTGACACTTTTGTGATTCATTATGAACCACTAAAGTAAGCTTTTCATGTTGGTACATGGTAGGAAAGCTTGTGTGAACCTGCTTATTTATTTACTTACTTATTTTGGTCTTTTTGAGACGGGGTCTCCCTATAGCCACAGCTGGCCTGGCACTTGCTGTGTAGAACAGGCTGGCTTTAATCTCACAGAGATCTGCCTGCCTTTGTCTCCCAAGTGCTGGGGCTAAAAGCATGCACCACCATGCCCGGCTTGAACTGCTGATTTATACACCAACAAATTGTGATTCTCATTTGATGTCATAGAGGAGGTTTTCATTCCTTGTGTCCTGTTCCTCCCAAGTGCTGGGGCTAAAAGCATGCACCACCATGCCCGGCTTGAACTGATTTATACACCAACAAATTGTGATTCTCATTTGATGTCGTAGAGGAGGTTTTCATTCCTTGTGTCCTGTCCCCAGAGTAGCTGGTGCTTCTGACTGTATTGTATTTCAAATGTTACATTTCATTTTTTAAAAGATTTATTTTTTTTCATACTATATATTCACTTTTAGACAGTGGGGGCAGGGCGGGTTATGGTGTACCTGTGCATATGAGCACACATGGAAGCCCGGACAGGTGTAGGGTGTCCTACTGTATCAGTCAGAATTTTTATTTATTAAAAAAGATGTATTTATTTTTATTATGTATGAGTTTTTTGCTTGCACATATGGGTGCATGCAAACATGTGGAGCATGGTGCCCAGAGGCAGAAGAGGTTTTGGATCCCCTGAAACTGGAGTTACAGATGGTTGTGAGCTGCCCTATAGATGCTGGGAACTGAACCTGGGTCCTCTGCAAGAGCACCTGTTACTCTTAACTGCTGAGCCAGCCATTCGTTGAATGTTCTGTGTTTAAATGGAAATTGTCCTAATTGCTGAATCCATGGTTGATTTCTTCAGAGGGCTTCATGGCTCTCATGTTGTATAAGGTCTCTGACCTAATAAAGCATGGATTGCCTGCTATTCATGTTAGTTACATATGGGAAATTGGGAGTCATCCTTAATAAAATCCCAAGTTATATCTGTGAGAAGGTACTATTTTAATAGTTTGCTATTCATTTAGGTGGGAGATATATGTGTCTAGTGTTTTTAACTTTTTTGGTCTCTTTTAAAGGTGTTGATCAGTGTATCCAGAAGTTTTTGGACATTGCAAGACAGACTGAATGTTTTTTCCTGCAAAAAAGGTTGCAGTTGTCTGTCCAGAAACCAGAGCAAGTTATTAAAGAGGTACAAACTCAGCTTTTTTTCTTCAACTTTTAGGAAACTCAAATGTGTTAATAGAATTTGATTTATACTGTAAGAAGAACACACTGTTTTCCTGTGGGTTGCATTAGGCCTGCATAGCTCAGCGTGAACTACAGCTGGGTGCCAGTGTTCATGATAAAGGGGAGTGGGTGGGGAGGGAGCAGAGCTTCAGACAGTTCTTCCCACTTACCACACTGGCTTTCATGGAGGGTTTTTTCCCTTAAAGAGCAGGTTTTGCTTCTGAGAAAGCTTGGAAAGCCATTAATGTAGATAAAGCTTTATTTGGAAAAGAACTATGCCCTGGCCAGGTGTGATGGTGCAGGCCTTTAATCCCAGCACTGGGAGGCAGAGGCAGGTGGATCTCTTGAGTTTAAGGCCAACCTGGTCTCGATAGTGAATCCAGGCCAGCTGGGGCTACAGGGAGATCCTGTCTCAAAAAGACCAAAAAAAAAAAACAAAAAAAAAGAACTATGTCCTGTGTCCCCGTTTGTCTTACCAGGTGTCAAACTTCCTTAAAAGGCATTTGTTAGTCTGATTGCTTTAAGCTGAGGCATTTGGAAATGAGTTGGGGTTGCCACAAGGACACCAATGTGGAGGACTGTGGACTCTTCACCCCAAGAATAGTGATGCTCCACTGAGAAGCACCAGATTGAGACTAGCTGGTAGGCTGGGCGTGGTGGCACATGCCTTTGGTCCCAGCACTTGGGAGGCAGAGGCAGACGGATCTCCGAGTTCCAGGTCAGCTGGGGCTACGGGGCGACCCTGTCTCAAAAATACCAAAGACAGAGACAGAGACACCAGCTGGTTTGGGCAGCTTTTGAAATAAGCTGACCATGATCAGTTAATCAGAAAGAGTCTGTACAGTTCAGCTGTAGAGACGATATTCCTCCTCATGTCAGATCATATGTGGGAGTGATTAAAGCTAAATCTTTAATAAATGATTTATTGTGTTTATAAAAAGCTCTTGAAAAAGTTGTGATTTTTAACACTGCATTGTCTAAAATTACCGAACAGTAATGTGGATTCTTACAGACAGTTGTAAATGTCTGTTTGAGATTTTCAGTGTTTGGTATTCTCAGCAGTGGACTTTGGGCAGAGATGCTCGGTCACGGGACCATAGTATGAAATCAGTTGATTTCATTTAGCCATTTTTAGATAATTTTAATCTTATGATTTATGTTGTATTTATTTTCAAAAGAACAATTAAAATTAAAATTCTTGATGTTAGGCAGACCTCTTTCATTGGAGGCTTGCTTTGGCTAACTTGAATAGTGGATCCCAGCTGATGGGCTTAGAAAGGTTTAATGGATTCCTGAGGTTTTGAATTCACTTTTCAGTTTGGGGTTTTTATTGTTGTGGGGCTTTTTCCCCCCCTCCCAGTATTTGGAATTGAGCTTAGAATCTTATATGTGCTAGGCAAGTGTGCATCCTCTCTAGCATTTTCATTTTGAGATAGGGTCTCAGAGTTTCCCAAGCTGGCCTTGAAGTTACTGTGGCCTTCAGCTTGGTGAATCTCCTGCCCCATCTCCCAAGTAGCTTGGATTACAGGCCTGCACTAAGTTCAGCCTTCTTGATGTTCTTTTGGGGGTGGGGCCGGAGGGTGTCTTTTTGAGACAGGGTCTCCCTGTAGCCCCAGCTGTCTTGGAACTCACTGTGTAGAACAGGCTGGCCTTGAACTCATAAGATCTGCTTGCCTCTGCCTCCCAAGTGCTGGGACTAAAGGCGTGTGCCACCACACCCAGCCTTTAATCTTAACTAATGAGGAACTATATGCATTTTTGAGTTTGCCATGACCATCACACTTTTTTCTCCCCCCACAATCACTTTGATCTGTAGGATGTTTTAGAACTAAGGAGTGAATTGCAGCGGAAAGATGCACTGGTTCAGAAGCACTTGACAAAGCTGAGGCATTGGCAGCAGGTGCTGGAGGACATCAATGTGCAACACAAAAAACCAACCGAAATCCCCCAGGGCTCCCTGGCCTACCTCGAGCAGGCATCTGCCAATATCCCTGCACCTCTGAAGCAGCCTTAAGAGCAGTCTGGCAAATGAGACAGCCCTGTCTTGTCAGCTGCACATGGCATTTTGGAAAAGCTCTCCTGGAGATTGAGTTGATGTCAGTTTTATGTTCCTACTGGTTTATGACTTCTTTATGTTTGAGATAGGACTTTATTGTGTGGCCCATGTTGACCCTGAACTCATGATTCCCTGCCCCAACTTTAGTGCCTATTTCTTGAGTATTCTATAAGATGCCTATAGCTTAATAAGCTAAGGAAGCTTTTTGTCCTTAGCAAAGATCAGACTGTTAAGAGTATCAGTGACACAATTTCTTCTCTGGGTTGTTTTTTTGGTTTTTTTTATTTTATTTTATTTTATGTGAATTCGTGTCTTTTTTTTCAATTGTTTGATTAGTTTGGTATCACCCGAAGGAACAAATTTTGATAGTTTGAGAAGCCAGGGGCTATGGAGCTTGGTTGTCAGACTTAATAACCATCCACAGTAGTGTAGACAAATTTGTTACCTTTCAAGACTGAACTACCTCAATAAGAGGACTCTGATACAGTGTCTCAAGTCTAGTAGAGTCAGCCAGCATATTTTACAGGTGGCTTACTATAGGGTTGAAATACACTAAATATTAGCACAGTAGGTAGTGTTGCAGGAGGAGCCTTACCTTGATGCTGGCTTTTATTTGGGGTGTGATTTATGGAATATTTATTTACTATTATGAGGGTGCATGTATCAGGAGCATGGCCTGCCTAATGCTGTTGTCAGGCTGTGCAGAGGTAGGGCAACTTAAGGAACAGGATCACAGTTGGCACCTGAGGCATGATGGGCTAAAACTTGCTTGTTTCTATGAGTTTGATTTGCTTGTGTATCAACATTTAAAATTCTCTCTATGGATTGTGATCTGTAAGTGTCCCTGTATAACATGCTCTATGGTATGCTTTTGAAAATTATGCATTGTTCTTGAACATGCAAGGTCTTATTTATTTTTGTATATGATAATTCTCGTTCATTGTCTTTGTGTACTTGGTTGTAATGCTGTTTGCCACGTGAACCATGAGTAACCAGCCCAAGGCCAAAAATTTCCCTTAATTAGAATGGATAGGTTAAAGAGAGCTTCAAAAAGTTGTTTGGGCTGGGTGGATGTGGTGGCACACTTGTAATTCTAGTACTTGGGAGTTGGAGGCAGGAGGGTCAGAGTTCAAGGTCAGCCTCAGCTAAATAGCAACTTTGAGGCTAGACTAGGCTAACGGGTCCTGTCTCAAAAACCAAACAAAAATAAAACACCTGTTTTATGAAGCTCTTACTGGCAGCTTTAGATTTTGTGGCTAAAAACCTAAATAAACTGATATGTTTTGGTCAGTATTTCAATAATAAACGTGACAAAAATACTAAAAACTTGTCTTATTGAATTCAAATGTTATGTCAGTTTTATCATCTATTTCAGTTTTTAAGAACATTGTGTGTGTGTGTGTGTGTTGTGTTTGTGTGGGAGGTGATATGCATGTGTATATCTTTGTGTGTGGAGGCCAGAGATTGATGGCAGGTATCATCTTCTGTTTTTTTCTTTATTTTTATGTGTTTAAGTGTTTTGCCTGCTGTGTAAATTCATCACATGTGTGCAGTACCCACGGAGGCCAGCAGAAGGTGTCAGATCCTGTGGAACTAGAGTTACAGACAGTTGTTAGGTACCATATGGATGCTAGGAACTGAACCTGGGTCCTGTGCAAGAGCAGCCAGTGCTCTGAATTGCTGAGTCACCTCTCCAGTCCATCCACCTTGTTTTGAGGCAGTTTTGCACCACTGGACCTGGAGCTCCTCTGGGGCAAGACTAGCTGGACAGCAAGCCCAGTGCCTGTCCAGTGCCCAACACTAGGATGAAGCTGCCATGCCTAACTTTGTATGTGAGTGCTAGGGTTCCAAACTTGGGTCCTGAGGCATATGTGGCAAGCACTGAGCTGTCTCCCAGCCCCATCTTTTCTTCTGAGACGGTCTCTAGCCCCAGCCCACCTGGTACTCACTATGGGGGTGGACCAGTCTGGCTCCATCTCACAGAGGTCTGCCTACCTCCACCACCTGAGTGCTGGGGTTAAAGGTGTGCGCTGCCACCTTTCTTTTTCTTATTAAATGCCATCTTGCTGGTTGATGAACAGAAACTCCAAGCTGTGTGTCCCTTGGGGATTTCCCTTGGCTTCCTGCTCCCACAGAAAACCCTTCTGACAAATGCAGCAGCAGCCCCACCCCACCCCCATTTCAGCTGCTAACATGCCTACTTATGTAAGACCTGCTTTTCTACATGTTCTTGAGCCCAGGGTAGTCGCTATCCCTAGGGATTAAGCACTGGTGGTTTCTGCTACTTCCACTGTCTCTGGGTCATTCCCTGTAGCTCAGTCAAGATCATTCCCCTGATCTTGAGCTGCTGTTCCATTTCCTGGCTCCTTATGGATAAGTCCAGCTATGCTCTCCTTCCCCAACTGCATTGGTCTCGCCTACACAATTCACTAGTGCTTGGGATCATCTTTGGCCACTTCACTTTTGAAACCAAATGAACACTCATGTCTGTGTCTTCTGTACTTGAACCGAAGCAAATGCAGCATCCCTTTTGTTTCCTTTTCTACCCAACTCAACAGTTGACATTCCTGAGAGTCTGCTACCCAGTCAAGGACTCCCCAGTCCTGGTGTTGCTGTGAGAAGGGCAGTTACAAAAAGCATTGTGTGTAGACCTGGGTGTGACTGTCTAGTGTGAGTGCTACAGCAGGTAATTCCTGGACCCCAGTAAGCAGCAGTCTGCTTAAGAGTTCCCATCATCCTGACCTAGACTTCTGAGCTCCCAGTGCACAGACAGCACAGACTTAGGGAGAGGGGGAACCTGTCCTTGACCTGTCCAGGAACTGGTCTGCCAGTGTTTTTCCCTCTCTGTAGATGTAAAAAGGCTCAGAATTCCAACCTTAGAGTTGCTCTGAGGTTATACTAAAGCTCATAATAAATTCATATTGTCTGGTTTTGTTTGAGCAATAAGTTTGCTTTTAATTTGTAAGTTTTAGTTAACAGTTCTCTCGAAATGATGTAGCTACATTTTATTCATAGGTGATTTGATTAATCTTGATGTGAACTTTCTGATTACAAACTCTATCCTTCATCTAATTTTACAAGTCATGACCATTTTTATTGCCCAGTTTAGAGTTTTATTTAAAGAGCAAAGATTTGACAGTGCATAGAATTGACATTTGTTGTTAAGCCACTTGCCGGGTCAGCACCAGAGAAAATACTCCGCCCACTCAAAAGTCATCAGATCTCATCCAGTTGTGTTGCTCCATAGAGGGTGAGACAGTGTGGGCGCCCAGCAAGTTCAGCACCATGGGCAGTTCCCAGCTCGCTCCTGTGAGTCCATACAGTGGAAGGCAACAGGGGCACATGGCCGGAAGGGAAGATCAGCGAATCAGTGCTTCAGCAATCTTCGATATCAGAAAGCAGTCTAGAAATCTTCACAAAGGACTTTGTTGACACAGTGGTCATTGAAGCTGAGACATGGCATGTGAGGCACAGTTCATTGAGAATTCCAAATTCAGGCTGGATAACTACCCATAGTACATTGCTTAATCCTTGCAAAGCCTCTTTTGAGGTAGGTGGTGTCCCCTTTGCAGTCTGTGACCTGTGCTAGGCGTTGGAAGTCAAAACGTGCAATCCAAGCATGCTACACAGTCTGTTCCTGGTAGGTTTGGTGTTTCTGCTTGTTGTCTCTTAATTGGGTTTCCTTTTATATTGAACTTTTATTCCCCTTCTTGTTGAGGTTAGGTGTGCATTTTGGAATTACACCATTTTACATAGAATAACTGAGTGGAGATGACTAAGGAAAAATGGAACGAATTTCAAAGCAGACCATGGAAATCACAAGTCTGATATCCCCCACGTGGAGTGTGACATTGTGGGCACTAGAAATACAATGGGTAGTTTGGTTGGTAGGGATTAATAACATTTTCCTAAGGGTGCTTTTTTAATAATTGGGTTATTTTAGCTTTAATATTAAGGATTTTTTAATGAACAGGTATCACAATGAAACTGAAATATCAGTGCCATGGCTTGTTTTAGCATATTGTATGTAAGCTATTGCCAGCAAGGTTTTTGGTTGGGTGACTCAGATGTATTCCAAAGGTCAGTTTAGAAGGAAAAATACTTGGTAAACCATTCCTGGCGTGGAGAGCCCTGCTTCTGCGGGACTTCCTTGTACTGGACTGTTTCTCCATCTTGTGCCCTAAAAACAAAGAAAATTATTCAATAAAAAACATAGTACCCACCATCTTTCTCAGGGCAGCTAACTGCCTGTCATCTCTTCCGAAGATGCTAGATCGTGGCCAGTTACACTAGCAACTGGAAATGGGTTGCAAAGGATGGCTGAGAGGGAGTGTCTCCTTCCTGGTTTATATATTTATTTTTCTTTTGTGTATGAGTGTATTGCCTGCATGTATAGAAGTGTACATGGTCATGCACTGCCCATGGAGGTCAAAAGAGGGCACTGAATTCCCTTGGAACTGGAGTTAGGACTGAGCTGCATGTGGGTGCTGGAATTGAACCTGGGTCCTCTGCAAGGGCAGCCAGTGCTCTTAACTGCTGAGCCATCTCTCCAGCCCTGTTTCTGGGTTTTCTTTCTTTTCTTTTTTCTTTTTTTTTTGTTTGTTTTTGTTTTTTGTTTTGTTTTGTTTTATTAAGATGGGGTGCCCCTGTAGCCCCACCTGGCCTAGAACTTACTATGCAAACCAGGCTGGCCTAGAACTCACAGAGATCCTCCTGCCTCTGCCTCTGGAGTGCAGGGCCCTGCTTCCTGTTTTGACTACAAAGGTTCTCCATTCTTTCATTGAAGACTTGGAGGTTTTGATACTAACTAATGAGGTGTATTTTGTAGTATTCATTATTTTAGGGGTGGATCACACAGCCATATTTTAAAGAGTTTAACAGTTAACCAACACAATATTACAACGTATATCTTGTGTAGATTATTTCCTGTGAGTTAATTACTGTGCTCTAGCATCTTAATGAGTGTGAAATTTGCCTACTAAATCAACAAGAAGAAACAGTAGGCAGTGAGACTGTCACCTGCCTGAAGAGTCAGCATTCGTGAAGTTTCACATAAAACAGCAGAATAAAGGCCAGTGAGATGGCTCAGTGGTAAAGGTGCCACCAAGCCTGAGGACCTGAGTTTGATTCCTGGGACCCACATAGTCGAAGGAAAGATGTGACTGCAGAAATTTGTCCTCTGACTTCAACACGTGTACTATGATACATGCCACCCTCCCATACCTGGAAAATGTAATCAAAAAATTTTTTTAGGGGCAGAAGACCCAGGTTCGAATCTCAGTACCCACATGGCAGCTAATAACTGTCCGTAACTCCAGTTCCAGGGGATCAGAAAGCCTCTTCTGTCTTCCGTGGGCATTGCACGACACAGGTGCACTTACCTACATGCAGGCAATACACTCATACACATAAAAAAAATAAAAATTAAAAAATTTAAATAAAAAAAATTTTTAAGCTGTGAAACAGAACATCTAAAAATAGAGGTGTCTATCAATGAGGGCCAGGAAATAGTACTGTGCTCTACTCTAGACCTTTTCCACGGGGGGGTACAGAGGGGCTAGACTCCTTCAGGGACTGCAAGGGAGTCCTGTGGGCTTGACAGTCATAGATCTCTGCCTTCCCGTCAGTCCAATGGCGGGTCCTCTGCAACTAGAGCATTTTAGAAGGGCCCCTTTGTGAAATTTAAACCACAAGCCCAGAATTTAAAGTGTGCTTTTTGAATGGAGGGCTTGATAGGAAGGAAGAAAAACGAGTAAACAAAGGTAAAACCCACAAGCCTTTGGAAGGGACGCAGGTTGAAAGGGGAAATAAGAAAGGTGCTTCTGAGAGCTTTAAATGCCAAAGTAATATCATACACATTGGAAAATAGCCTTAAAATAAGAGTGGAGCCAGAGTGAGCGCTCCTGTGCTAAGTCCTAGGTGGGAATGTCATGGATTAAGTCCTTTAGTCCCACACCAATGTAATGAGGCAGATGCTGTATCCATTTTTAAGGCAGAAATACAGAGAACTGGAGAGGTCCTGCCCCACACTGCACAGCTAAGAAGGAACAGATTTTGAATAGAAACATTTAAGTGATTTCATTAAAAAATAGGCCTCTGGAGTTTGGTACCATAAATAGTACCTTTGAGAAATGATGAGAAGCCCCCCTCACCAGTTCCCACATAGCTAAGAATGTGTTGCTAAAGGCAGGGTGCTTCTTGCAGCCCTTTAGATAGATGCCAGGTATTTAGTGGGTACCTGAAAGGACCCGTTTCCTCCCATCCATGGAGATAGAGCAATGCCTTCACCCTCTAACACACACCTTGTGGCTGTTTTCCCATCTAGAGACTGGGTAGGTTTGTAAGGCTGGCCACAGCTGGGGCTTGGGTCCAGGCTGGGTGACTTGGTTATGGGAGGGGCGTTGATCTTGGAACTCAGATCTCCACTCAGAAAGTTCTTTGCATAGGAGGCAAGGTTTGGCACACTGACCACTCTGCTGGGCACTTCTTCCATTTTCTTTTTCTGTTCGTATTAGAGGAAAGTTGTCAGTGCCGCCCAGGAAACAGCATTATTGGAAAATAAAATAGGCTCAGACATACCTAATTCAAATGATATGAAAAAGAAGTGACAGTCTTATTCACATACTTACAAATTTTAAAAATTTTTTATGTTACTATTTTTTCAGTGTTGGGCATAGAATGCAGGGCTTCAGTATGCCAGGCAATTGTCCTTCCACTGAGCTACATCCCCAGCTTTTTAAATCCTTTTTTCTCCAATCTTTATTTTGCATACTAAAAAAGTTTTCTGTTTTCTATCCAAAACTTTTGGGGGAGACATGCTTTACAATTCAAAAAAATTTAAATAATTTAGAAGCCATACAATGCCATGGCAGGGGCTGAGACCACTTTATCTTCAAATTAATATTTCTAGAGGCATGAATTAAAAACCACAAATGAGATCTCATTAGTTCAGGTCAGGCTAGGTTTATTATTCTGTGATTTATTAAAAAACACTTTTTTCAACCTCTTAGGATCTCATGATAGCAGGTGAGACTTTTGGATGTGAATATGTCTGGTGTTATGAAGTCCACAAATATTATAGAGAAATATAGTGAAGAGGTGAAAGATTCCTATTACTTCCCTACTTCCCTAATTACTTCCCTAATCACCCAGACAGAGGTAACGTGATTAGTGACACATATGTACTTTAGAAAATACAAAAGGTCCATAGACGATAAAAGCCACACATAATCTACCCAGTACTCTTTGCTCATACTTGGGATTGTTTCTTTTCTGTGGGCCTTTTTCCAGTGACTATTCCTCTGAATGTACACTAGGCCTTCAATATGCTTCTACTTCTAAAAGAAAGCAGAATTGTATACTGTGTTAAAACTAATTTACCTTCATGGAAGGTGTCAAATATCCGGGGTGAGGATTGAAAGAAAAGGACCGATTCCGATGGGACATTGTGCTGGGAAATGCTGCGTAGTGAAATCTTCGCTCTTCCTGGAAAACCAATACAACTAGGTCTGAATGAGCCCATGCATGTGGCTCTGGGTTTGTCTAGATGGAAGATGGTGGGGAGGGCAGAAGGAAAGCCCAGGAGGAGGGGGAATCAGTGGCATTCAAACTGCCAGTCACTGAAGCTATGAAGAAGCACCTTCACCTCCAGGGGCTTCATATTGCCAGTGAAGGAAAGGAAAGGGCAAGCTTCCGCCTTAGCAAGTGAAAATCTAATTATCTAGAGCATCTGAAAGTAAAGGTCTAGTAAAAAAGTTAAAATAATTATGCAAAGAAAGGCCCTTACAATACACAAACATTTCAACTTTTCTCCTCCTCCTCCCTACCCCCTTACTTAAAACAGGGTCTCATGCTGGCCTCAGACTTCCTATCCAGCCAAGAATGAGCATGACCTTCAACTTCTGATCCTCCTGCCTCTACCTCTTCACCTCCTAAGTGTTGGGATTTCAGGCATGTGCTACCTATCACACCTGATTTATGCAGTGCTGGGGACTGGACCCAGAGCTTCATGTGTGCTAGACAAGCAGTCTACCAACTAAGGTACATCCCACCCTTGCTGTATTCTTTTTAAACCAAATTTTATAAATCATACAATTGCAGTCTGTCTACACAGGGAGTTTCAGACTAGCTGGGGCTATAGGGAGACCCTGTGTTAAAAAACCAAAATAAGTAAACAATTACAATTGAATCTTTAAAAAAAAAAATCACTGTTTCTAAGAGATTAAATATTGGGAGCATTTCTTTTTAAATTACAAAGTAATGGCATTTCATTTTTTCATTATGGCATTTCTTTTTTTAAATTTTATTTATTTTTAATTTATATGTATGCATGTTTTGCCTGCATGTAGGTTAAGTGCACCTGTGTCAATGCCATGCAATGCCTGCAGAGGTCAGAAGAGGCTGTCGGATCCCCTGGGACTGGAGTTAGGGACAGTTGTTAGCTGCCATGTGGGTGCTGGGATTCGAACCCTGGGCTTCTGCAAGAACAACCAGTGTTCTTAACCATTGAGCCATCTCTCCAGCCCCTCATTATGGTATTTTTACACATTTTTTTGTTGAGAGATTATTCATATAAGAAAACTATAACCACAATATCTTCCTACGTTTAGCAAGTGAGCACATATTCCTTATTAATATAACTCTTAAGTCGATAATCAAAGACCAAGGGGAGAACACTCCAGAGAATGTCAGGCCTTGTTGGCTTTGGGATACAGAATTGAGGAAGTTGGAAACAATTTTTAAGAGGTCTAAGGAACAGCTTTGCTAACTAGAAAAGCTGATTTTGTTTTGTTTACAAAAGGAAGATCAATAATGATAAATTTAATTGTACTAAAATTCAAAGGCAGGTAAATCTAGGTTTTTGTTTCCAAGTCTGTAAGTTAAAAAAAAAAAAACAAAACATTGAATATCAACAAGCAAATGTTAAACTTGGGAATAGGATTTTTTTTCTTTGCCTTGTATCATTTTTTGTTGTTTTATTGAGTACTTTTTAGTGATAGGAAAAAATGACGACAGATTGACGGGCAACGTTTTAAGCACCTATAGAAATGCCGGGTACAAATAGCATCTTCCTGTGACGCGCAGGTGCGCAGGTGACCTCCAGCTCCAGGTCCCCTCCCCTCCCAGCCCGGTCCTCACCGTGAGCTGTCTGATGATGTCCTCCCTCTCCTTCAGGCGGGTCTGCAGGCGGCCTATGAGCTGCAAGTCCTCCGGTCGGGAAGCTCCCTTCACAGGCTTCTCTCCAGAATCTTTCAGTCTGTTCAAGGCAGGCTTTTCTTAACAGGGGGCTGGGAAACCGTGCTTAGTCCGGCCATCCAGGCCCCCAACCCCTGGTGTGGCTTTTGGCAGTTCTCCCAAGCCCCCAGAGCCACGGGATGTGCATGTAGACGCCGCAGGTAGCCCGGCTCCCAGAGCCTGGCGTGGCGGGGACGAGAGCCCTGGGTAGGAAACTGCTCCCAGGCCCTCTGTCCCCCGATGCCCACGTGGCTCTGGCGCCATCTGCTGGGGATTTAGAGTGCAACATGGGTTGGTCCTCCCACTGAGCCAGAAACCCTTTAAAGCAGCAGCAGCCAGAACAGAAATAAGGCAGGGATGGGGGTGGTGTTCACACTGCAGATGGCCTGTGACTGTGGTGAAGTAGCCCCCAGACTCTAATCCTGGCTCTGCTTCTTTTCAGTCATGTGACGTTTGGCCTAGCATTTCCTCTGGAGCCCCAGTTCCTTCCTCTTTGAAACTGACTGGAGCACAGGCCCTTAAAAATCACTTTGTGCTGTATAACCTGTTCATTTAGTGCCATATAAACATGGGAACTGGCTTCACCTGTCGGGACCTGATCATTGCATTGCTTCCTAAGTGGTCTCCCTGGCAATCACTCCTTCCCCTAGCTTCATCATTGATCAACTAAAAGAGACTGTGTTGAAAGCGAAGTCAGATGCTGTCTTCCTGGGACAGTGGCTGCCCCAGGTACTCTGAACTCACCAGAGTTCCTTCCTGGTCAGGTCCACACACAGCCATGCAAAGCAGACCCCAGAGCCTTTGTACCTGCTGTTCCTTCAGACAGCTCCCACAGATGCTCGGAAGTACTTGCCACATTATGTTTAATATCCCTTCTGAGAAGCCTTCCTTAGCCACCTTTGCACTATCTGTACCAGGTCCTGTCTAGCACTTGGTCACCTGCTATGAAGTTAAATGCTTGTTTTCTTGCTTCCTTTCTGATTCTCTGTCTAGAATTTGTGAGCACAGTGAAAGCCTGGTCTTTGTTTTTGTTCTTCACTATGACTCTAGAACCCAAAATAGGTTATGGCACACGGTAGGCCTTTAAGTGTTTAAGGGAATACATGAATGTGTGCATACACAAGAGATCCTTGCTTTTCTTCTCTGTTAGGGAATAATAATTTCCATCTTGAAGAATTGTTGTGAAAATTTAGACAATACATGTAGGCCTGGTATGGTGGCACATGCCTTTAATCCCAGCACTCAGGAGGCAGAAGCAGAAGGATCTCAGAGAATAAGGCCAGCCTGGTCTACATAGTGAGTTCTAGGCCAGCTGGGGCTATAGACCCTATCTCAAGAAAACAAAACACATGAACAAAAAACTAACATGTAAGAACAGGGCGAATGCTCATTTGCTTGAAAATCAAGAGCTTCCTGGAATTCAGAGGCCTTTATGTTTCAAAGCCAGGATAGCCCAGGGACACTGGGATGAGCGGGTTACCTCTGTAAATGGAACATCTGCCAGTCCCTCCCATGGGCCCAAGGCCTTACTCACTCTGCTTCCAGAGCAGCCATCCGGGCCTGGAGCCGGGCCTGGGCACCACTGAAATCCGCCACCATGGCCTGCATCTCTTTCCGGTGCTCCTGGCGAAGCGCCTCCACTTCCCTGGCTGTCTGGGCTTGCTGGTCCTCCTCTAGCAATCTGTGTTGGATGGAAGCACAGTCAGCTTTGCCCAGGCTCTGGGCCTGAGCTCTTGGACTTTGGGCTTTCTCTATTTGATGGCCTAGTTTGGGAATCCCTGGGTTGAGGGATCTCCAAAAGCCCTATGGAAAGGTGATCTGGGGTCTCCAAGTTGTGCTAACCCTTCTCAGCCCCCTCCAACCCAGCATCTGCAAAGGAGAACCCTGAGCAAGAGAGTTGTATTCCTTGGAAGGGGAAAGGAATAGACCTGGAAGGAGCCCAGAAAGCACTCCTTTCCCTGGGACAAGTGGGGAGACTGAGGCAAAGCTTTCTTGATTAGGCCTGGAACTCAGACCTGGGAGAACTGCCATCCAGGGTAGGGTATCCAGAAAAGTGGTGGGAAAGATCAGAGAACAGTGGTTAGGGCCAGGCTGCCCATGTCCATGTCCTCTTTCACTTCCTAACTGTGACCTTGGGCTCAGTGTTCTGTCAGGTGGAAATGACAGTGGTACCTACCTTACAGAGTCAATGCAAGGAGAAATGCTAATGCATGTCTAGAATAGTCCATGGCATAAAGGTCTTGTTCAACTGTTAGAGTAGCAAATAGCCCCATAAGATTAACTGGTCAAGCCTATAAAATCTTTAGTCCATCTGTTGAGACTCACCTCTCCATTTTCACTGGTCAATCATCTGGTCATAGGAAGGCAGGGACACCTTAAATTATGCTAAATAGATAGGTGGAATACCTAGTGCATTAATGAGATAATGAACTTTTCCTGTCTGGAATCCCGCCTCCTAGCACAGTGCTTCTGCACCCAGCCACAGACATGTAGGTCTCTGTAAGTCTTCCCACTTTTCTGAATTCTTTGGCAAAGCGTAATCTCTCCTTTTCTTCTTCACATCCCTTTTCTAAACATACTTCCTTTAATGCTTTGAGCTGCCCTAGCATCTTGTATTTCCTTACTTTTCCTCTGAAGCTTCCTTCTCTCCGCCATGTGGCTGCCCATCAGCCACGTGTCTGACCTCCATGCAGGCTCTAAACCTGCCTGGCTTCATGGATTTCTTTCCTTTTCCCTCCATTCTCTTCCGCAAGGCAGCTGCCAAGATTACCAGCAACCCTGCCCTGAGGATTTTCCTTAAAATTCTAATAACATTGTCCTAACGCTTCTGTTTGGGTCCAGTCTTAAATTCGTTTATGAATAAGACTAAGAACCCTCTAGGGGACACTCTTTCTTCCCATTTCACAACCATTAGCTATCATTGTTCTTAACCCAAGTCCTAAGAGGACCCCAGTGGAGTTCTGGAGTCCTGGGAGAGAGGGGGGTCTTCCACGCTCAGAAAGCACATTCACATTTCTATGACTGTCTTTTTCCTAGGAGAGGGACCTTGTTTTCCTCACCTGGTGTGGACTCGCCTAGGGTCACATGGTGCATCTCTTGTTGCATCTAAGACGCTCCACCTCAGCCAGGTGGGCTCTCCGCTGCTTTAATGAACTCAGGTCCTATGTTTCTCAGAAGGGAGGCCCCATGACCTCAATCAGTTTGGGGACTGAGTTATATCATGACAACATGTACCTAGGGAGGGGTCTGGGCCTTTCTCCTGCAGTCAGCTCTCCTCCCCACCATCAGTGGGCACTACAACTACCTGGGGCTTCTTCAACATCTGGGAGCCCTGGGCCCTTCTTCTGGGGTGGGACTCAAGAATAGATATTTTTAACATAGCTCCCTCTTGTGTAGGCATCTCTGCCTGGGAACCCAGTACCCAAGGCCACCTCCACAGCAGGACACACTCTCATTGGTTCGTTTTGTTTTGTTTTGTTGAGACAGGGTCTTTCTTACTCTGTAGCCCAGGCTAACCTGAATCTCATTGAGTTTCTCAGCCTGGCCTTGAACTCTGGGCAACTCCTCTGCCTCAGTTTCCCAGGTGCTGAGATTACAGGCATGAGTCATCTTGCTGAACTTTCCTAGGCTGATCTTACTCAGATCCTTATGTCTGAAAGAGGCCAACTCCATCCTCTGTTCTAAAAAGTCCCTCACCCCAGCTGTTTCTGTGAAAGGGTAGAGTCTCAGAATGGTACCACAGTTTCTTCTACCAAGAGCAGCATCTCCTCCTGGGAATGCCTAATGCAAATTCTAAGTCATTCTAACCGAGGCTAATTCTCAGGCTCTATGCCAGATCAAATGAATCTGACATGCTGGAGATGAATCTAGTAATGAGTTCAGCAAGGCTTCCAGATTGGGGGGGGGGGGGCTTGAGGGGGAGAGGCTGGGGAGCAAATGCAAGTTCTTGCCCATGATAGGAAAGTGCTCTACCAATAGCTACATCTCCAGCCCTGGGGTGATTCCAATACATGACAAGTTTAAGAATTTTTTAAACGTATTTTATTTATTATTTTTATTTTATGTGTATGAGTGTATTGCCTGCATGTATGTGAGTGCACCCGTGGCCTGCAATGCCACAGAGGTCAGAAGAGGGCTTCTGATTCCTCTGGAACTGGAGTTAAGGATGGTTCATAGCTTCCATGTGGGTGCTGGGGATCAAACCCGGGTACTCTTTAAGAACAGTCAGTGCTCTTAACCACTGAGCCATCTCTCCAGCCCCAAGTTTAAGAATTTTAACTGACCTCTCAGTTTGTGCTATATGCTTGACATTGTTCCAAATACATCTCTTTTTTGAGAGAGGTTTCACTATGTAGTTTGTGTTGGCATTGAGCTCAAATTCTCGTACCTCAGCCTCCTGAGTTTGGGGAGTTCCCTTAATTTTCTCAACTTCCTGTATGCTGGGTACTGTCATCCCTAAGCTCAGGGCAATTGAGGCCTGGGGAAGAAACTTGCCTGAATTCATGCTTAAGAGGAAAAGTTACTATTGTTAACCAAAGTATAAACCCCAGCCCTCCTCCCACTTGTAGTGTGAAATAAAGCAAGATATATGAACCCTGGAGCCACTTCCCCCTCACCTTTACAAAGAAGTGCTTTAAAAATTAAATGATGGAGTAGAACATAAGCTGAAGCAGTTTGGGGCTGACCCAGCAGGGTTCTCTATACACAAGTGAACATAATGGGGGGGGGATCCTCTGGGTATTCAAAAGAGAAATTATGCTGGGCTTAGTGGTGCATGCCCTTTAATCCCAGCACTTGGGAGGCAGAGGCAGGTGAATTTCTGTGAGTTCAAGGCCAGCCTGGTCTACATAGTGAGTTCCAGGCCAGCTGGGGCTACAGGGAGATCCTGTCTCAAAAAACCCAAAAATAAATAGAAATTATGAATAACTTTAAGAGACACTCAAAAACAGGTGAAATGCACAAATTCACTGACAAATACAAACTGCTAAAATTTATTCCAGAAGAAATAGTCTGAGAAGGCCTATATCTAGTCAAGAAAATGAATTTTTATTAAAACCCTTCCAGTAAGGGAGGGATCCGGTTATGAATTCAGGACTGATAAATTATTAACTCACAACCAGCGAGGTGTTTCCTCCACGGTTTGGCGGGGCCCAAGCCTCTAGCATGCATATCACTGCCTCCTCTAACAGCTTCTGGGCCATGACGGAGTCACCCTTAGAGCGGTTATCCATCATCACTGGCTGACCTAGCCCCTCGCATAGCCTCTTCTGGGGTTCATTCTAGGTCTAAGGAGTCTTGTGGGAGAAGGAGTCCGAGCTACGACCCAGTTTCGGATCTCAGAGGCTCCCAGCTCTGACCTTGGGAAGGCGGGAGCTGGGCGGGGACACACCTGTGCTGCTCACGCAGTTGCAGCGCCTCCTGCTGGCGCTGCTCCACCTCGGCCCGCAGGCGCAGCACGGCGTCCTGGAGTTGCGCGTTCTCCTCTCGGAGCCCGCTGGCCTCGCTGCGCCCCACCTCCGGGGCGCCCATAGGAGAGCAGGCGGGGTCCTCGCCCGCAGCACCCTGAGGGCAAGACAACCGGGAGAGAGGTTAGTCCCAGAAGCACCGAAGCTGACTCAGCACGAGGGGCTCCCAGGCGCTCTCTTCCTGTTTGGGGAGCTGGCCAAAGCTGGCTCGCAGAGTTTTTAGTGAAATCGGGGGACGCGAATGGAGCCCCCATCCGACAAGCAGCACACTCCACCTGCTCGCGCTGTCTTGTCTTTGAGCTTGCTGCTCCTTCCACCCGAGTTCCCTCCCCGCTGTCACCATGCGAATTGGAGATCCTAGAGCCAGCTGTGCTGTTATCAGAGCTCTGGGGGTGGAGATGCTGGGGCAGCCCAGAGCCCAACATGGAGTTGTGCCGGACCACCGGGAGGAGTGCAATGGGGACGCCACCAAGTGTCCCTAGATGGGGGTTGGGAGGAACCAGGACTTGCCATTTCCAGCAGGGGTGGACTCTAGCCCCTCTGCGACCACCTTATGGGAAGTTCTCTGTGGGCCTAATGCTGTTTTAGAAGGGGCATGCTGTGCGCAGGGGCCAGGCTCTCACCTCTGTAGTGATGGTGTGGTCCTCGCTGTCCCCTGAACGCTGGCTGATGGCCTGCCACCTGCCCAAGGGGCCCTGAGCTCTAAGCTCAGCCTGTAGCACCTCCAGAGCCTTCTGATGCTCAGAGCAGGCAGCTCGCTGCTCCGGCATCTCCTGCCTCAAGGACCCTGGAAGGAAGAACAGTGGGAAAGTATGGTCAAGTTCCCTAAACTCACTTCAGGATAACAGAAGCAACAGTACAGTATATGGAGCATTTGGCATGACCCTCAACCAGCCTATCAGGTGTGTATTTAGCCCCTCGCTCTACCATATCCTCCGGCCCATTTTATGATAACAGAAAGCCCAAGAGCTACACAGCTACACAGTGAGGAGGATTCAGAGTTTTCGAGTGGTTCTTTGCTCTGAACCATCTGCTTGACCAATGTTGGCTGGTTAAGATGAGGTAGCAGGTTAGGGTGTGTTGGCTTCAGTCTAGGAGCAAGTCCTGAGGTACCAAGTCCAGGAAGCCACAGGAAGAATAGGAACTATGGATGGTCCAGAGACCTCCGGGGTTCAAGGATCTCCATCAGAAGTCTTAAATTTATGTCACCTTTTAAGCAGACAACATTCACAGCTTCTAGCTGTGAGCATGGGCTCTTGGCTGGATGGTAGAGGCAGAAGATGGTGTGTCGTCCAGCAGAATTTGGACTAAAACTGAAATCACCCAGGAGAAATGTACTCACAAAAGTCCTTATCAGAGCGCTATAGGTGAATGCTCTCACAGTCCTCATTGGGCTGATGGCAGACCGAAGTGTTGGAACTAAGCTTCAAACCCCAGCAGTTTGGCTCCAGCAATCTTTTGTTGTCATTTTGATTTGTTTTCTTATTCTTGGGTTATTTTTGAGACAGGGTCTTCCTGTAGCCCCAGCTGGCCTGGAACTTGCTATGTAGACTAGGCTAGCCTCGATCTCATAGAGATCTGCCTGCCTCTGCCTCTTTAGAGTGCTGGGATTAAAGATGTCTGCCTTCACACCTGGCAACTCCAGAGATCTTAACTGCCTCTGCTAACTTCCAGAGTGGGTTTTGATGTGGAAATGGGACAAGCAGAGGAAAAGAGGGTGGGACCTGAGTTCCTCTAGTTTGCAGATGTCTTCGGAAAAGAAATCCCATGAAATTGAGGCAATCCGTGAAACACTTGCAAAGGCTCCTATCTGGAGTCTACTGAATGGTAATAATAGTGTCAATATTCACTGAGCTCATGTTGTGTGTTAGACATGTATTTAACATCCCATTTAATCCATATGGTGACCCTATGATGTAGGAACGATTTCCATTTCTTTTCAAAAAAATATTTATTATTTAAATTTTATGTGTGTGAGCATAAGTGCACCCGTGTCATGCAATGCCCGAGGAGGTCAGAAGAGGGTGTCAGATCCCCTGGAACTGGTGTTACAGACAATTGTTAGCCAACATGTCGGTGTTAGAAAAGGAAAATGAGGGGGCTGGAGAGATGGCTTAGAAGTTAAGAGCACTGGTTGTTCTTGCAGAAGACCCGGGTTTAAATCCCAGCACCCACATGGCAGCTAACAACTGTCCACAACTCCAGTTCCAGGGGATCCGATAGCCTCTTCTGTCCTCCATGGGCATTGCATGACACAGGTGCGCTTACCTACATGCAGGCAATACACTCATACACATAAAACAATAAATAAGATATATTTTAAAAAAGAAAGAAAGAAAAGGAAAATGAGCTTAGAGCACACTCTAGGTCTCTTTCATAGCTAGCTGGAACAGACCTGGGATGGTCACTCTGGCCTGTGTACCCTGGGCACCACCCTGCTTGCCATGGGTTCCCTGTGTGGACCATGCAGGTGGCTGGGCCCTCTTTGTTCATAGCTTGAAACTCACCAAGCAACAGAGCCTGCTGGGCCTGAATCCACTCACGTTCTTCTTGCAGCTCCTGTCTGGCCTTGTCCTCCAGGGCCTGGAGCTCTAGCTGGTCTGCCTGGTGTTGGATATGTAGGCTGTGGCTGGGTTCCTTCCTCGGGCGCCCCTCTGTGGCCTGTGTGCAGAAGGAAGGAGGCAGGAAATGGTGCATACTTTCTTGTGGAGGATTATCAGGCAGGAATGGCCCGGCCATCAGTGGTCACTCTTTAATTGTTTAAGATAGCAGATAAAGTAATGGGTTTCATTATGACATTGGCATTTCCATATATATCATATTTTTTTGAAACAGCATCTCAAGGCTACTGCTCAGGCTGGCCTTGAACTTACTGTGCAGCTGTGAATGACTCTTTAACTTGTTTGTTTTTGACATAGGGTCTCACTTATCTGGGTGGCTTAGAACTCACTATGTAGATCAGGCTGGCCTTGAGCTCACAGAGATCCACCTGCCTCTACCTCTTGAGTGCTGGGATTAAGGCATGCACCACCATGCCCTGTTGACCCTAAACTTTTAATCTTCCTAGCCTGCACCTTCCAAGTGGGATTATAGGCATATACAACTGTGCTGGATAGCTTTAGTGTCAACTTGACACACCTGGGTTGAGGGAGCCTCAATTGGGGAATTGCCTCTATTGGACTGGCCTGTGGCCATGTCTGAGGGGCATCCTCTTGATGAGTGATGTGGGAGGGCCCAGCCCACTGTGGGTGGTGCCACCCCTGGGCAGGTGGGCCTGTGTTGCATAAGAAAGCAGGCTGAGCAGGGGCCAGAGAGCAAGCCAGTAAGCAGCGTTCCTCCATGGCCTGTGCTCCAGCTCCTGCCTCTAGGTTCCTGCCCTGAGTTCCTACCTTGGGCTCCTGGATGAACTGTGACCCAGGATATGTAAGCTAAATAAACCCTTTCTTCCCCAAGTTTGTGGTGGTCAGAGTATTTTGTCACAGCAATGAAGAAACAAACTAGGACAACAACCACATCCCAGATTATGTGGTGCTGGGAATCAAACCCAGGGCTTCATGCATGTGAGGGGAGTACTCCACCAACTACATCTGCAGCCCCATGTTTTGTTCTGTTTTGCCTTCCCTTCTGGCCTCCTTGTCCCCACCCCTAATTCCTCTTGCTGGTCTCCCACACACACCAAATAGTTCCTGCTTCTGATTTCATGTCTTTCATAGTCCATTACCCTCCCTTAGTCTCACTTTTCCATCCTTTTAGACCTCCTCTTCCTCTCTTTCTACTTTTGTGTCCTACATATGTATGTATATTTGAAAGGGAACAGAGGGGATGGATGGAGCACTTTCATGCTCTGTATTATAAAGACACATTTATGCTTCATATTGTAGAAAGGAATCTACAGGTACAGGTTATCACATGCACACTGTTAACATTTGTTTGTTCTGAGTTACCTACCACCTCCTGGAAGGGTATCAGGTTGATACCAGCAAAAGGTAACTAGACTCAGCATTTTAAGAAGTGCCTGAGCCCAAACATGCACAGAATGAAGTTAGCATGCAAGGGATGATAACGAGAGAGGCACAGACATCAAGGCTCAGAATGTGACTCAGCAACGACCAGAGGGGCAAGACCCAGCTCTAGAGTGATTGTCTTGGTTTCCTGCCTCCCCCTTCTTTCTGTATAATCTGCTGACCAGAGAGAAGATAAAGGAAAACTTTTAGGGTGTTATCCTGTTTCTTTCTTGGATTGTTGGCTTTCTGAATAAAGTGCAACTTGAAGATTCAATTCCTATCTCTCTTTATTGCCTGTGGTGACAAGTGACAGGAGCTCAGAATATGTATTCTGGCTACATATTCTGGCACCTCCACTAGAACAGCTTCGGGACTCCCTGGTAAGTCACTGAGCTGGTAAGGAGTCCCAACTGCTGCCTGACCTGGGGGCCCTGCAGCACCAGGATGAGAAACTCCCAGGTGGCTACCAAGTAATTTTACCTGGGGACCTCTCATGTCCAGCTCCCGGCACTCTCTGGCACTTTCATCTAACAAATTGAATCGCTACACTTTCTGATTTGGTTCCCCAGTTAAGGCTTGTTTTGGCTTCTAGTTTAAAAGCTTGACCTGTCCTGTCCTGTCCTGTCCTGTCTTGTTTTCATTTCATGGTTACGGCCCGTGTCACCTCTAATGTCAAGGTACCTTTCTGTACTGTCTGGTTTATTTCAGAGCTCTGAATGTTGGAATGGGTAGCACAGCCTCCATTCCTGGTGACAGTCCCTTGGGGGCCTGTTCTGGCACACTGATCTGATTATGCTTGTACAGCTATGTTTTTAAAAAAGGTAGTTGTTATCTCCCCCAGTTTTGGAGAAGAGCAAATGTCTTCTGTACCCCAAAATGCAATTATGGGGTTAACATGTAAAGATTCTCAGCTCTCTGTGTATTTTCTCTTCTGCTTTTGTCTTGCTTATACAAAATAATTCCTGTCCAGGGTCACTGGAAACTGTTATCTTGGACAGCTCTTGATAGAATGTAACATTCTGCAACTGTCAGACAGATAATAAATGAACAAACCTTTTTTTTTTTTTGTCTTTTTTGAGACAGGGTCTCCTTGTAGCCCCAGCTGTCCTAGAACTCACTATGTAGACCAGGCTGGCCTCAAACTCACAAAGATCTGCCTGCCTCTGCCTCCCAAGTGCTGGGATTAAAGTCCACCCAGCCTATAAACCTTTTTTTTTTCTTAAAGTTTGTATGCATGAGTGTATTGCCCGCATGTGTAAGTGCACCCATGTAGCGCAATGCCCACAGAGGTAAGAAGATGGTGTCAGATCCCCTGGAACTGGAGTTAGGGAGAGTTGTTAGCTGCAATGTCAGTGCTGGGAATTGAACCCAGGACTTCTTCAAGAACAGGTAGTGCTCTTAACTGCTGAGCCATCTCTCCAGCTCCAAATAAGCTTTTTTTTTTTTTTTTTTTTTTTTTTTAATCTACCCACCAGCTGGTTGTGGTGGCACATGCCTTTAATACCAGCACTTGGGAGGCAGAAGCAGGCGAATCTTTGTGAATTCTAGGCCAGCCTGGTATACATAGGGAGTTCCAGGCCAGCTGGCTACAGGGAGACTCTGTATCAAAAAACAATACAAAAAAAAAAAAAAATCTACCCAGTAATAAGGTCGCCGAGGAGTTGCAGCAGAAGAGAACTGGAGTGTTTAATAATGTGTATGTAGACAGGCAATCTTAATTCAGTACATTATGCCTTTGTTCCAATATAATTTGGATTAAATCTTCTTTTAATAAATTAGTAGCTTAGTTTATCATTCTGTCTCCTGATAGGAGATAAAGGACATAAAGTAAAAAACCAGCAAGTATGAGAGAGAAGAAATGCAAAGATAGATGTAAACAACAGGATATATTTTTGGTAAGAAAAATTACAAAAGAGAATTCTTTTGATAAAGATGTCTTTTTGTATGGTAAAATATGGTTTTGTAAAGACAAAATAGAAAGCTTAAGCAACATCATAGAAGGTCTGAGTAAGTCATACAAGGCTTCTGGAGGATGGTGTATGTGGGGCTGGAGAGAGAGCTCAATAGTTGGGAACAATTGTTCCTCCAGAGGACTGAGGTTTGGTTCCTATAACTCACAAGGTGGCTCACAACCATCTGTGACTCCAGTTCCAGGACCTCTGATGCCCTCTTCTGGTCTCCATAGACACTGCATGTTGCACATATACATATATACAGGCAAACATACACAAATAATTCTTTAAAATTGGTACATGTAGCTGGGCGTGGTGGCACATGCCTTTAATCCCAGCACTTGGGAGGCAGAGGCAGGTGGATCTTTGTGAGTTCAAAGCCAGCCTGGTCTACATAGTGAGTTCAGCTGGGGCTACAGGGAGACCCTGTCTCAAAAAGACACACACATATATATATGTTATATGTATATATATATATGTTATATGTATGATTGAAGGTTATTGAAATTCCTGATGTCAAAATTCAGTACATGTATATAAAACTAAAATCCACCTCTTTGCTTAAAACAATGAAGTTTTTTCTTAAGCTATTGATCTGTTCTTGGTAACATTTACAAAAACTGATTAGTGCAGTGTTTGCTGGTACGCTCCTTTAATTCCAGCACTTGGGAGGCAGAGGTGGGCAGATCTCTGAGATCAAGGCCAGTCTGGTCTCCATAGCAAGTTCCAGACCAACTGGGGCTACAGGGAGACCCTGTCTAAACAAACAAAAAAACAAAACAAAAAAAAAGCAACAAAAACTGGCTTAAAAAACAAAGAATTTGGAGCTGGAGATATGCAAAATTAGGAGCTCTTCCTGCTCTTTCAGAGGACCCAGGTTTGTTTCTCAGCACCCACGTGGTGGTTTACAACCATGTAACTGCAGTTCTAGGGGATCTGACACCTTTCTGGCTTTCATGGGCCAGTCATACAACCACACATATATACACATAAATAAAAATTAAAAATAAATCTTTTTAAAAAGAATCTTATATTTAATTAAGATAATTGTGTTTGGTTTCTGTTAGGCTGTTAGTTTAACTTCTTAGGAAGCTGAATCTTAACAAAGTCAAGTTCATTTAAGTATCAAAGTCCTTAAGTGACCACTTTATAAAGAACTATTTTTGGTGTTTTTTAGCACATTTAATACCCTATGTATATGTTACTAAAAATGTGTGTCTGAATTTTATGTGTTATGTGAAAGTTTGCAACTAAAGACATGTAAGTTTAATATATGCAAAGTGACTAATAAGTGCTCTCTTTTGTGCAAAATGCATAAAACTCACTTCCCTTTACTTCCCTGGGCTGGACAGCCTCTGAGCAGCCTGGTGCCTGCACTTTTCCTGGTTCCCAGGAGCCCTCTGGACCCTTTGCTTCCTGGGCTGCACAGCCTCGAATGTCCTGGTACCAGCACCTTCCCTGGATAAGTCCAGCGCACTCAGCATACCTTGACTCCCCCAGCCTCTTTCACCCTCCCAGGTCCCCCAGCCAAGTCTCTCTTCCTAGGCTGGGTACAGGTCCATTTCTTCTCTTGGCACCCCAGACACCAGGGCTAACCTCTCGCCCCAGGGCCACCGCTGCTTCCTGATCCTTTGCATCAGAACCAACCCAGTTCCTCCCTGTGGGCCCCCAGGAACCCTCCAGGCCTGGTCCCTCCCTCACCTCC